TTTTTTTTTTTTTTTTTTTTTTTTTTTTTTTTTTTTCTTTTTTAAAAAAAAAAAAAAAAAAAAAAAAAACCAACCAAGGGAGCAGAACTACTAGCGCAGCTGCTCAGACTGGATGTGAGCAAGAACAAACTGATTAAAAAGAAATAAAAAAAAAAAGTTTGCTGTGAGAATCAATTAGCTCTCTGAATGTGAAATAGAGTATTGTGTATCTCATTGTCGTTTGTGAATTATATGTGACACATCTTTTCGACTAGTGTGATATGTGACTTAGTTAACCTAGTTCAGCTCATGCAGGCATTCTTTCCCCTGAAGAGCCAGGTATGGTTAAACCTCTGTTGGCACCACAAGCCACTTGGGTTAAGGGAAGTTGTTTTCCCCGCTCCTCGAGACAGGATGCTGTTGGGATCGGAGACATTCCCCATGGTTTTCTCGCAGTGCTCCACGTCAGGGGAGTGAGACCCGCGGATTCCCTTTGCTCCTCACTCTTCACTCAAGGGTGAGTCCACCTGGGGAGGAGCAGCCTCGTCACCTCCAAGCCGCCACCGTCCGTGATCATGAAGAAAGCGTCCCTTTCTGAAGCAGACGTCAGAGTTGTGGCCACCGCCCGTTATAACAGACTGGGGTCCCCAGACCGAGGCCCTGCCCTCAGCTGCAGCGGAATCGCGCGCAGGCATCACCGGGCGCCCACCGCCCGCTGTAACAGACTGGGGGTCCCCAGGTGCAGCGGGCACGTGTGCCTGCGCCCCCGGGCGCCCCGTCCCGAGCTGGTCCTGCATGAGGGAAGCCCGGGCACCGGGAGACCCTCGGCGCCAGCTCTGCCGTCGCAGTGACGTCCTTCATTTCAGACGCGGGGACTCGTGCCTCTGCGTGCCCGAGACCCCGGCGCCCTGGCGGCTGGTCCGTGGGGAGCGCGCATCTTCGCGCCTTCTTCTCCGCGGCAAGCAGCGTCTCGGCCCTGGCTGCATCCACACCCACCCGCGAGCTTTCTAATCCAGACGAACGTCTGTTCTTACTGCCCGGAGCCCCTCCGGGTCAGGGGACGGGACTCTCCGGGTGGGGTCCGGACCCTGGTCCTGTGGGAAGCTCCGTGTGTGCAGCCGCAGCCGGCGAGTGCGGGTACGAGTCCTGTGTGGGAACGCGAAGAACCGCAGCCGCCGCCTCGGGGCTGACGCCGGGATGCGGGGCGCGCTCTGCCCCGCGGGAAAGCTGGCGGTGTGGGACTCCGGCCCCGCCGCGCGGGAAAGCTGGGGGTGAGGGTCTCCGGCCC